ATCGACCCTGCAAATGCCCTCAGTGGGGGAAGAGCTTTGCCGACAGCTCCAACCTCCTTCACCATTAGTCGTTTGCTTAGCATCTCGGCTAATAATTGTGATGGGTCTCTCAGGGTAGCCAGGATTGTAAGTCGCCTTGTTACCCTCCTGCCTCTGGGGAGAAGGAGTCTTCCGCCTGACATCGGGCCAGGGGAGGGTTAATCTCAACTCCGCCCCTTCCCGGGGCACGTGGTGCCCTAAGGGGGCTGTAATAGGGCAGGTCGGGAGCAGGGTCTCCCCCTAGCTCCCTTCAGTTCTACCTTGTCTCTGTCAGTATCGTCCCCAGCAGGTCCTTGTCGTCACGGCAGGTGACACTCCCAGATTCCCACCCCTGGCAGGAGCCTTCCCCCCCTCCTGCTTTTCTCAGAGGGCTCAGCTGGGCCCTTGGGGCAGAACTGGCCCCTCCTCTCCCCTCAGGGAAGGGTTTGGGGGATTTGCTTCCTGACCATCAAGTTTTCCGCTCAGCATCCAAGCCCTGTGCCCCTCCCCCGTCTCCCCGGCACAGGGAATGAGCCCCGACTGGATTCTCTCTCTCTCCCAGCAGGTGCCAGGACAGAGGGGGAGACTTCGCAGCAGGAAGAGGCTGCAGGAGCAGAGCCGAACGGGATGTCCCGGAGCCCTGAGTGGGAAGACCCCGGTGGAGCAGGATGGCAGCAGGGAGACCCCATGGTGGAGAGACCTGCTGGAGGTGATGATCATAATCCTCAGAGATCCCACACGGGACAGAAACCCCATAAATGCCCCGACTGTGGGAAGAGTTTCAGGGGGAACTCGGCGCTCCTCCATCACCAGCAATCCCACACAGGGGAAAAACCTCATCAGTGCAGGGAATGTGGGCAAAGCTTTGTGCAGAAATCAAACTTGACTAGACACCTGAAGGTCCACACTGGGGAGAGACCCTACACATGTCCCCAATGTGGGAAAAGCTTTCGTCAGAAGTACAGCCTTTCCCAGCATCAGTTAAGGCACCGGGAAGAGAGACCTCACAAATGTACCACATGTGGGCAAAGCTTCGCTCTCAAATCGTACCTTGTTCAACACTTGATGAAATGCCACATAGAAGAGAAATTCTATAAATGCCCCGATTGTGGGAAACTGTTTGCTCGGAGCTCATACCTTAGGAAGCACCAAATGACCCACATGAGGGAACGTCCCACAGATATCTCCAGTGCAGGGTAGGGATCACCCAGAGGTTCAACCTTCTGGTGCATCAGAGGACCCACACAGGTGAAAGACCCTATGGATGCTTGGACTATGGGAACAGCTTCAATTGGAGATTGGGGCTTATCCAGCACCAGAAGACTCACATGGGGGGGGGGGAACCTCATGAGCGCACTGAATGCGGGCAAGGTTCAGGCAGAAATCAAACCCGACTAAGCACGTGAAGATCCACACCAGGGAGAAGCCCCATAAATGTCCCCAGTGTAGGAAAAGCTTTCATTAGAAGATCGCCCTTTCCCAGAATCAGGTTATACACACCAGCAACAGAGCCCTCACAAATGCAGCAAGTCTTAGAAAGCTTCACTTTCAAATCAAACCCTGTTCCACACCCGATGCCACAAATGTAAGTTCAGATGAAATGCGATCTAGCATCGCAATAGGGACTCCACACAAGATAGAAAACATTGGCGTGGTTCTTCCTTTTCTTGGAGCGGGGCACTACTCCACTCATATATATTAAAAATTACAAGGTTCAAAGTGCATGGGTGGGTAGTAGCGGCTTATTTATGGTGAGAGGTGTGAGATTTGGGTGGGGGAAGGAGCTGGTGAAGGAAGGAAAGGAGATATTTCACTGGGGTGAGATGGTTAGTGGAAATTTCAAGGTATGATGATTAGGTGTTGGGGAGAAGTGATTGCCAGGGATTGGCAGGAACCAAAAACAGAGAGAGCCTGGTTGTGTCCACATAGGTACTTATGGTGATATAATTAACGAGGTATATTTGTGATGGTAAAATTCCCCATGTAAACAAGTCTTTAGGAAGGAAAGTTTAAAGGTAACAGCTGAGCACTTTCAGGTTTATAGAGAACTAATATGCCTTGAATGATTAGTACCTATTAGTTCCTCCTGGTCCTCAAAAATTAGCAAAGCTATCTACCTCTGTTCATCCTCAAATAAGATCCACCTGGACAGTAAGAAAATGGTTCATATCATGTGAGACACTTTGTCTAAAAGCGTGGTTCTCAAACTTATTGTATTGGAGAACACTTTCACACAGCTAGCCTCTGAGTGTGACCCCGGTTATAAATTAAAACCACGTTTTAAAATTAAAACACATTTTTATCAAATTATTGTTCTACACAGAAAAGTTGGTTTGTAAAATAGTTACTGGTTAACAGTGAGAGGGCGCTGCTGTGAAGTCTGCCCCAGCCAGTCTGCTATGAAAAGTGCGATTGTAGGTTTGTTAATTTCACTTTTCAAAGCCTTCCTGGTCTGAAGGCAGCGGTGCCGCCAGCAGCAGTGCAGTGCAATAGGGTCCTAAGTCTGCTGTGAAAAGTGATATTAATAAAGTTTCTTCGCGCCCCTCACCAGAGAATCTCAGACACCCCTCCCAGTTGGTGCACCACTGGTCTAGTCCAGCTCTTCCCCACCTCAGGGAAGAGGCTGGCACAGCCCCTGACTCATGACCCCCATGTAATAACCTCGCAACCCCCAGTTTGAGAATTCTTGATCTAACACACTTGTCCACAGATCAGCCAAGGTCTGGAGTTCCACTTCTTCCCAAAAACACAACCTAAAATGGCTGAATGAGATTATTGTTAATTGCCTAAGCAAGAATCTCACTCATAGTGTCATACGGATAAAACCTCTTTCTCACTCCCAATATAGCTAAAAAGATCTCCAAAAAGTCACCAAGTAGGGTGATACCCTGCTTCCCCATGGCACACTGGGAGTGGATCAAATAATGGGCGGGGAAGCTGGCAAAATGTCTGTTACCCCAAGAAACCAAAGCACATGTTTTCATCCCAAATGCGAAACTATATATCTGTTGTGCTTATCAATCAAATATACCATTGATGATCTGTTTTGTCCTATCAATATGTCCTCCACCCCAAATTTAGAAGCTGAACACGTGTCTGCTCTGTGAATCAGATATCCTCAGAGAGAGAGAGAGAGAGAGAGTTTAATTTCTTTTGTGCTATTGTGATAACTAAATAGTATGACATGCTTATATACGATGAAAGAATGTATGGAATTTATCCACCAAATTTAGAAGACTACAATGGATTTTGTTTGTTTTCCTAGAGAAACATGGCTACTCTTATTTCCATGCTGCTGCTGGTGGCAACACTGCCTTCAGAGCAGGGAGGCTGTGAAAAGTGAAATTAACAAACATACAAATCTCACTTTTCACAGCAGACTTGCTAGCACAGAATTCACAGCAGCAGCGCAGCAGGACGGGTGGCAATGGGGCGCTAAGTCTGCTGTGAAAAGTGATATTGACAAAATTCCTTTGCACCTCATCAAGAGTATTAAACAGTAACTATTTTCCAAAATAACTTTTCTGCTTAGAATAAGTCAATAAAAATGTGTTTTAGTCTTAAGTTGATCCAATAAAAGATATCACTTCACCCATCTTGTTTCTCTAGTATCCTGGGACCAACATGGCTACAACTACACTGCATGCAATAAAGGAGGTGGGCTAATCTGAAATACAATCCTTGAAATGAATCAAACATAAAAAGACATAGGAAAAGGATTGTAGACTTTTGTTGTACACTACCGCCATCTACTGGATACCCATGGAAGTAGCAGAGAAACTGAGCTGAAATCTGAGCACTCGGTTGGCAAATGACCAGTAGAAATTACAGGGAGGTCCCCTCCAATAAGGACTGGAGTCGGGGGTCTATAAAACTGAGGTCACTCTGTGGGAGGAGCCTGGG